GGCGATAGGCCAGAGGTAACAAGCTACCAGTGAAATATGGTGGAGCGCAGACTGAGCAGGAAGTACGATGTGGCAGAGCTGGGTATTTGCACAAGTTTTGATTACAGGATGAAATGAAGCTGGTGGAGCTCTGCACTGACTCCAGCTCACCTGTCTCCATTCACACAATCACACACACACACAATGAGGGGGGGGGGGCTGCAGGCTGGCAGGAGCGCAGGGTCTGACATCTTTTATAACTGATGGTCAGTTGGACCTTTCTCCCTGGAGCCTGATACAGCTGGAACATGAAAAAAACTGTTTCCATTTCAATTTTGCAAAGAAAAAGTCTGACGAAACATTTCATGTGAGCGTGTGGCATTGGGGAGTTTTTCAAAATTGTCTGTCACTTGTTTTTAAGTTCGCAATTTGAAATTGTGCATTAAGCAGGTTTATGGAAACACAGCGGCTCATGTGTTATCAATGTAGTGGTGGATAAAGTCGACATGGTGGACATGGAGTCAGGTTTGTCTTTTAGCTCCGTTTTTGGTCTCTACCAACTCCTGCCAAAAATATCTGTTGATGTCAAATGTGAAATTATGTCTGTTGATAAAATCCTGGATGATTCATTTATCATAATCTTGTCTGTTTAAAATTCTAATCTGTAACTGTTTTAAAATGTTTAAAAACAACTAGACACACGTTCTATATGTTGTTGAGTTGTGTTCTTACATCAGAGCAAACTCTTTGTTTTTGGGGATTTTTAATATGAGACATAGAATAAAGTGAGGAATCACAAAGTGAATGTCTCACATGTTTAGTTCATGGACCATCGGAAACGATTCTTTCTGTTTTTACAGCATTTATGATAAATGGTGTATTTATGGTGAGCTTTTTTAAAAAGAAAACATGAAAACCAGGATCTGGTTTTCAGGGGGTTCAGCTCAAAACCTCCTGAACCACTGACACTGAAGGAATCCAAACCAGGAGAAGCTGACGACTCCCATGATGAGAAGTTACAGACTGTGTGTTTAAACGTAAGGATGATGAGAAGAGATAAGATAAAGAGTCAAGATAAAACCATGTGATCATGTGAAGACATAACATTAGAACTGAACCAGCACATCATGTTCTGTTGGTAAGTGATTCATTACTTTTACAGATCCCACTCCAGATGATGGCTGAGCTTTACACCATGTTCCCTCTCTGCGTTTGATTGCAGTTTAGCCACTTTTTGTGACTGAGATTTCACCAGCTTCATCATCTGCTTTAATGGTTTTATTTAAACAAGCATGTCTGAATCATAATCACTGGGATTAACCCGAAAGCAAACGTGTTCCTCTTCATTTCAACCTGGTTCAAATCGATACAGAGCTGAAATAATAGCGGAAGCAGAAACATTAGAGAAGTGACTGCCCTGTGCACACACACACACACACACACACACACACACACACACACACACACACACAAAGACATCTGATTGCATGTTCAAACAGATTAGCTGATAAGCCAGTAAACACTCCCTGTCGATGTAAAACAACAAACAGCACGGCCTCCCTCTCCGACACGACGACTCCTGACGCTGATGGTGAGCGGACATGTGGACAGAGCTGGGTAATGGTGGGGTGGGGGGGGGTGGCAGACAGAGCTAGAAGTGCCCTTCTTTGGTATGGAAATGGGGACTGTGGAGAGCAGATATGATAAAATATCTGACTTTCACAAAAAATGCCAGGGGCTGTTTGGACATCTGCTGTGTGCTGTGCTGCTATCTGGCCTCTCTGAAACACATGGGAAATCAACATGCACACATTATTTCAGGCAACATAGACATGGCTCAGTGGTCGACCCACACAGTCATGTATTTAAAGGAGAAATGCACCCAATAGAGCAACCGCCGGTGTGTGATGCACGCTGGATCCATTTTGTTCTCATTCCTACGGATGACTGGCCAATTACAGCCAATGAGACGTCAGGTGGAGACATCATGTCGTCTTCAACACGGACTGTAAATATCAGGTGTCAGAGAGCGATGTTCCCCTCCTGCGCTGACGTTCAACCATCAGACAAGCAGGAATCCATCAGTCAAGAGGAAGAGACACCAACAGCCTTAATGGACCAGAATGCACTGCAGCAGCCACAAGACATGTTGTGTTCACCGCCCTCACTGTGCTTCAAGCTCTCGCTCTCTCCACCTACATGAATAACCCACAGCTGATCAGAAATTCAGTGCAGCCATATGTGCACTTTGGGCTGAGAGCGGCGAGTTGGTGCTTATTTTATGTATTTTCAGATGTTGTTTAAAGGTTTTTGAGGACAGAGAGAAGGTTACTGCTTCAAGTAGAAATGAAGACCATGGATATAAAGTTAAGAGTCAAAAGTTTTTCAAGAGGAAGAAAGTTTTTCATCATCCACGAGTAGAACGAGATATAAAAACGCAAGGTCCAGGCACTTGAGGGTTAAAAATAAAAAACCTTTAATACATGAAGACTATAAGAGTCCAGAGTCACTTCCCCGTTCGGCTTCGCTTCTTGAGACATGTTTCTATTAAAAGCTTTTATTGTGTGATATCTTTTTTGTTTGATTTATTTTTAACGTTGCTTTGTTTTGACTCATGTGAAGCACTTTCATGTTTGTATTGAAAAGTAACAAATAAACTACTACTATTGTTATCATCATCATCATCATCATCATCATCATCATCATCATCATCATCATTATGATTATTACAACATTAAAACTCTACATACTTGCTGGCAGCTCTATGGAGCCTTACCATACTATGTTTTATGACATTTTTCTACCTTAGCTATGGCATTTTTATCCCTTTATTATAATATGACATTTATATGACATAATATTATGTGATGTCTTTATGCCTTACTATACTATAACATTTTTGTGCCTTACTATACTGTGACGTTTTTTGATATTTTTATGACTTATTACACTATGACTTTCTTATGATATTTTTATGACATACTATACTATGATGTTTTTATGCCTCAGTATACTTTGATATTTTTTGACATATTCATGCCTTATTATACTATAACGTTTTTGTGCCTTACTATACTGTGACGTTTTTTGATATTTTTATGACTTATTACACTATGACTTTCTTATGATATTTTTATGACATACTATGACATTTTTGTCTTATCATACTATGATGTTTTTTTACATTTTATGACATACTTTACCATGATGTTTTTATGCCCTACTATCCTATGGTGTTTTTATGTGGTTTTACAACTTACTGTACTATGACATAAATGCTAAAGATTATGCTCACATTGACATGCTGGTGTTAAGCAAACATGTAGCATGTTGTCATGGTAACATTTGCTAATTAGTGATGTTAGCATGACAATATCGCAAACATTGTAAATTACATTCCTATCAGCTCAGGCCAATGGGAATGGTATATAGTTCATTTTTTTCTCATTAATGTCACTCAGCATCCTGACAGAAAAAAACAGAAATGTAGAAATTTTTTCAAATTTATTAAAAAAGAAAAACTGAAATATCACATGGTCATAAGTATTCAGACCCTTTGCTGTGACACTCATATTTAACTCACATGCTGTCCATTTCTTCTGATCCTCCTTGAGATGGTTCTACTCCTTCATTGGAGTCCAGCTGTGTTTAATTAAGCTGATTGGACTTGATTAGGAAAGGCACACACCTGTCTATATAAGACCTCACAGCTCACAGTGCATGTCAGAGCAAGTGAGAATCATGAGGTCGAAGGAACTGCCCAAGGAGCTCAGAGACAGAATTGTGGCAAGGCACAGATCTGGCCAAGGTTAAAAGAATTTCTGCAGCACTCAAGGTTCCTAAGAAAACAGTGGCCTCCATAATCCTTAAGTGGAAGAAGTTTGGGACGACCAGAACTCTTCCTAGACCTGGCCGTCCAGCCAAACTGAGCAATGGTGGGAGAAGAGCCTTGGTGAGAGAGGTAAAGAAGAACCCAAAGATCACTGTGGCTGAGCTCCAGAGATGCAGTAGGGAGATGGGAGAAAGTTCCACAAAGTCTCTGCAGCCCTCCACCAGTCGGGGCTTTATGGCAGAGTGGCCCGACAGAAGCCTCTCCTCAGTGCAAGACACATGAAAGCCCACATAGAGTTTGCCTAAAAACACATGAAGGACTCCCACACTATGAGAAATAAGATTCTCTGGTCTGATGAGACCAAGATTGAACTTTTTGGTGTTAATTCTAAGCGGTATGTGTGGAGAAAACCAGGCACTGCTCATCACCTGCCCAATACAATCCCAACAGTGAAACTCAATTGAGCATCTCTTGTTGCATCATTCCCAAGAAGACTCATGGCTGTACCAGCTCCAAAGGTGCTTCTACTCAGTACTGAGCAAAGGGTCTGAATACTTATGACCATGTGATATTTCAGTTTTTCTTTTCTAATAAATTTGCAAAAAGTTCTACATTTCTGTTTTTTTCTGTCAGGATGCTGAGTGACATTAATGAGGAATAAAATGAACTTTTTTGATTTTAGCAAATGGCTGCAATGAAACAAAGAGTGAAAAATTTAAAGGGGTCTGAATACTTTCCGTACCCACTGTATATCTACATATGTTTAATTTCATACATATGTTTTAAATATTTGTACATATAAAATACAAATACATATGTAAAAAATATATATAAAACCTAATACAAATCAGAATAATTTCATATATTGGCATATATGTCCATATATAAATATGTATATAAAGTATTGTTATCTTGTAGCTCTTGTAGAGATATGTTATGTTATATATACCCATCCCAAAGCCTGTCAATATATGTTGATATTATATGTGTAATTGTTTAAAATCAATAGATTTTGAAAAAAGTTTTTGTTTTTAATAAACTTGCATCTATGAATTAAACATACATCATTAACAAATATGATCACAACAGGTTACACCATAAAAAAATTCATCATATAGACATTTTTAAAACATGTACATATACAAATTTTACTATAGGTATTTTATATATGTTATAAACTCATATCTGCATATACCCAGAGGATGCATATATGTGATAATAATATATCCTTTTATAGGAGATATACCGTATATGGCAACATCATTCTTGATTTAGGGTCATATACTGTTTGTCATATATTACTTTTCCATATCGGTTGGACAAATAAAAGTGTTGATCTGACGATGGTGCTGAATAAAAAGTCACCTCTGGGGTATAGAAGGTACCCCTTGTATTATTATAAACTCATCTTTTAAATGACTCTCAGTTTTTATCTAAGAAAACACCAAACAATCTAACCCAGCTAGTGGACTGCCGGCTGACACTGTCGCAAGCCAGGAACAATGCTAGAGTGTTTCAGTCACAATAGCTCTTCATGCTACGTCACTAACAGGACAATACACAGATTATTCAAGACAGGAACCAGCGACAGCAGCAGTTTATTCTCCGACAGAATATCTTAAATAACAATGAATGGTGCATCACAGCCAATAAGCTACTGTAGCCTCCTCCATTATGGCCTCTGGCTCCAGCGCTCCATTTCCTCAAAGGTCACCACTGTCAAGATGGTTTGCAATCGGTCAGCACGACTTTATGTGTCAAAGTTCCTCTAAGATGAACTCTGCGCTGCCTTTTTTGGCGCTGGTGTGGACCTGTACTCTGTGTCCTGACACAACATGAGCCAAAACCAGGACGTGGTCTAGCTCCAAACACATACTTGGCCGCTAATTGAAGTTTTGACAAAGGAAACAACATCATCATCATCATTAATTGCTTGAATCACTAGGTTCAAAGGGTCACGAGGTATAATTCATTACTGAAAATACTAGAAAATAAAAAATACTAGATCTGGTAATTAAAAAAGTACAGCAGGTTACTATATTGTATGTCGCATATAATAATGGATGTGATGGCCAAAGGACGTTCAGAGACACGTTGCTGGTAAGTAAGTTCTGACTTCTCCTGTAGCGTAGCTTCTCTGTCCGTAACTGGATCATCACTTTGAATAATGTCCTGATTATATCTTATTTTTTATTTGGATAACCTCTGTACTGTATGGAAACATAGAATAGGGGTTTCTTTTGTTAATTCCTCTGGGTGCTAGGACACCTTGTAACAAATACTATGAAATATCTGACTGTCAGAAGTTGACATCGAATCATTTCAGTGAATGAGTGTTGGAGGGTGGATTTTTCTGCAGTGTTGTCACTTTAGTCTGCAAAGATCTGTGAGACGGTGAACAGAGAGAAGAGGTGTTGAGATCTATTTGTAAACACAAGAAAAGGAAACCAAGAGGAGAAAAATAAATCTTTTTGTTTCACGATCAGTTCCTCTGAGTCACATGAAAATCCTGGTGAAACAGCTCCCTCTTGTGTTCAGCTTTAAAACTGCACTGCAAAACTCTGACCCTTCAGCTGCAGGGATTTGGAAAACATCATCTACGCTTTTATAACATCACTCCTCATCTACCGTCTGTAACACCTTCATCAACAGCCTTTTTTCTATCTTGGCTCCAACTGGTCCAGATCTCTGTGTCCCTCCACTGGCTTCCTGTCACCTTTTAAGGATTGATTTAATTTCATTCTTGATATACACGCTGTCACATGGTCAGGCCCCTCTGAATCTGAAGGAGTTGTTGTGCCTTGTGACCTGTGGGAGACGCCTCAGACCATCAGAGCAGAGACTTCTGGCAGGTCCGTGGTCAAGGCTGAGAACTACAGTTTGCTTCTGCTGCATCTCGAGGATGCAACAGCCTCCCACAAAGTCTCAGACAAGACAAATAAGTCATGTTAAAAAAGTTTCTTAAAATCCATTTATTTATTTTTCCCTTGATTTTATATCTTGTATTCTCAGGTTGTTCAGTTACAGGATTATCTCCCTTTTTCCCTGTGAATCACTGTGAAACCCTGACCATTAAATAAATGTGACATTACACTGAAATACTGCTGCTGGCCTCAGTTGCAACTGCACTGTTGCATTATGTCCAGCAGATGGTGCTAAACAGTAAATCTTAATCTTACAGAACACAATATTTCAGAGAGTTGTGCAACTTCCAATTTTGCTCCATAAAGAAATGGTTTTCCGTGCTCAGAGTCCTGACCTCAGCAACATCCAACACGTCTGCGATGAGCTGTGAGCGAGGGAATGTCACTGAACATCAGTACCAGGCCTCACTGATGTGTTCAAGACCGAATGGGAGCTGGTTTAACACCTGGTGGAAAGTCTTAGACTGAAAGAGTAGAACCTGTTACAACGGCACATTATTCCCCATGGAAAACACATGTATGGGTGTAATGTTTGGGTCTCCACATACTTTGAGCCTTGTAGTTTATCTCAACACTAGTTTCCAAGACAAAGACAAAGATTATTCAGAGGCAGAAGAGGACCAGCTTTATTGATAGTTTACTTGACCTCCAGAAGTTTTTTTAAGATACAAGAACACATATTGGGAACAGAAACATTGAGATTCTGCACATAGAAATGATTCATTCATAACAATAAATAAAAACATGAACCTCAGCGCAACACAATTATACACCAGAGCTGAGACAGGGAACTGTGACAGCACTGAAGGAGCCGCAGATGAAATGTTGCACTGAAACATCTGATGTGATATATCTGAGACGAGAATCCAGTTTCACTGGGTTACTTTTAATCTTTTATCCCTTTTTGTGTAATGAAATAGGTAAGTGTTGTAGTATTTGAAGAATGCTGCAAGAACATAATGGTACAGTCTATGAACTGGTCGGTTGGCTTTTAGTTTAATCTCCAATCAAGCTCCTGTCACCTGCACCTAAAGTCCGACTGAGGAGGTCAGAGCAAACTAACCACAATAAGAAGGTAAAAGGGAAATGGGTACCGAGTAAGGCTGATCTCAGTCCTGGTCCTTTACAAAAATATCAATATATATCCACACCCATAACCCACCACAGTCATGTTCATCTGTCAAACCGCTCTCACCAATAAAGATGATCCTGGAAAAACAAGAAAGTAACGTTTCCTACAATCAGAGCAGATGTGCTTCAAAAAGGAAGACTAGTGGAAGCGAGTCAGCAGGTCACGTCACAAACTGGACTCAACTCAAACTGCCACTCATTACCGTCCAATCTGAACAAGCCTCAGTCTCTGTGGAGGGAACTAACACTGCAGGTTATTGAGTGGTTATTGATCGAGCAGTGGTTCTGCTTCAACTGTAGAAGATACTGACGACGGCTGATCAAGATGTCTGACATATTCATCTAAACGGTCCAAATGAGTTGTGCGGCTCAGAAACCGGGTCAGAAAAAAGCTAAGGTCAAAGTTCATTTACACAGCATTTACATCATAAGGAAAAACGATCACAATCAATCAAATACCTGAATATACAGTACATCTTCAGTTCAAATGAACATATGAATCTTTGAAATCAACCGTTATACTGTGACTTTTAAAATGCTGTGGGCTTTGCCCTTCTCTGGGTTTTTGGATTGTGGTAACAAACAAAAACAGATATTAAATTAGCCAACGACAATCACTAAATCTCAGCAGATTCAAAGAATCTGTTGAGATACGTCGACACTTCTACATCAGTACTCTGAACTTCAGGAAGTACGGTGGTTGCTTCAGTTCGTGCTGTGATGTAGGACTGCGAGAAACATTTAAAACAAGCCAAAATCAAAACAGCAGCAACCAAAATATTCTGACTGAAATGGGTCAAGATCGAAAAGTGCTGGAGCTTACGTTCCCCATAATGCACCTTGCTAACATCTTTCATTCGTCTTCCCTGATTAGTAAAGGGCCCACCTGCAGTTTGTAACATGAAAAATTTAGATTCCCCGGATCTACATGGAGATAACCCTGATGACATCATCAGGGTTATGATGAACTTCACCTACAGTAAACTGTATTTGAACTGAGAGCGAACTGAAGCCTGATCAGATTCCCAGAAGCCCCCAGTGACCTTTGAGACAAACACTTCCACCAGCTTCGATGCGTAAGCTCTTTTAAAGACTGCACTGCCATGCGAGCATGAAATTATAATTTCCACTTAAAATCAATATGATTAACAGACGAAGCGTCGTACAGCTGACTGAGTGAGAAACTGCTAAAACTATCGTCATCGTTTTGTTTTCTTCTTGTTTCTTTTCAAAGCACCACACATGTTGCAAAGAGCTGAAATGAGGAACGCCATATTCACAGTCTTCGTGTGTGTGTGTGTGTGTGTGTGTGTAAGAAGTTCACACAGTGACCTATCAGAGTCCTTTAGGACGTCCAGCGCCACCAGGCCACCTTCATGCGGTCCCAGACGGCGTCTAAAGAGTCAAAGGCGGGGCGCACGTCCAGGATGGAGAACTGGTAGGTGTCCTTGTCGACTTCACCGTCGTAGTAGTCGATGACGTAGCGCACCTCCTTCCCACAGCGGTCGACGATCCAGTCGTGGCGGTCAAAAGGCAGCTCGTAGCTGAGGGGGAGGGGAGAAATAAGATGACTAAACAATGATACAACAAACTGATGATACGTGGAAGGTGTCATGTGACAACTGGGTAATTCTGCAGTTTACTAACTGAGAAGAAGTGACAAAGTTTTTACCAGGAAGAAGCCTGCTGTTCAGGAAACACTCAGATTCTACGTGTTGTCACTAAACTACACAAGTTCAATTCCCTGTAACTGTGACTGTCAGAGGGGATGAGGCGCTCTCCTCTCCTGCTGCTCTTTGCATTTAGATGAATAAAAGGATTTGCATTAATGTATTTAAATACATAAAAAAAGAGCCAAAGGCAGCAGCTCATGACACTGACTGACTGACTGACTGACTGACTGACTGACTGACTGACTGACTGACTGACTGACTGACTAATCACAGGACTGGATGTTTACTGATGAGTAGGGCTGATAATGTAATATGAGTCACAACTTCAGCTTCTTGCATTTGATTTTCACTGAAAAATATAAAAGTGAACAAACGTGTCTGTTGTTGTGACAGATTTTACCTTTATCCTGTGATTTGGATATATTTATATAATATATTAATATATTTATATATATATATATATATATATATATATATATATATTTTATATATATATACAGCTTTATTGTTAAATAAGATTGGCGTGTAAACTCTAAACTAGGGCTGTCACTTTTTCAAAAAGATCAAGATCAAAATAATTCAAAATGACGCGAAATTCATTCGTATTAATTCGAATTCGGAATCTAATTACCTGCTGATGGTCTGATGCACTCAGAGACTGCAGCTACATTTCCATCAGGCCACTGCAGCTTGTGAGGGTTAGTTAAGAGTTCTCCAGTGATTTAGCATTAAACTCTTAAAACATTGTCTCGACTCACTGTGGACAGTTAAAATAAATAAATAAAACTGATGCAGCAGAACCAGACCTGACCCCCCTTCATGCTGAGAGTTCAGAGATTTGTTATGCTAATAGTGGCTAATGTAGCCTCAGGCAGAGAAGAGGAGTGGGCTACAGAGACTCTTTGGTCCTCTGCGTCTCTGAAGCATGAAACTAACTGTGAACGTAAACAGATAAAATTTAAAGATGCTTTTCTTTCGTTACAGAGTTTGTATTTATGGACGTACAGAAAAACGAGTTCTTCTCGTTTGTTTTTGTAGCTGACTCGTGTGTGAAGCAGGAGAAGGAACACGCAGATACAAAAGATAAAGTAACTCAAACGGTTAAAGTACAAACTGCTTGTGATACAGACAAACCAGCTCTCGCCTCTTGTTTTGGAAAGAGGCAGCTACATGTCTGAAGTTCTTCCAGTGGTTAATGGAGCCGTGACAGAGGAATGACGCAGACGCCTTCACTGCATGAGAGTTAAAAGGTGAAAATAACATCCCAGTTTCATTTGTGTTGTTTGATGGAAGCATCAGCTGGTTCTAATATTTCTAACATCAAACAGCTGCAGTGTTCAGTGTCTCCACACTGAGGGGAAAGACGGGGTTGAGGTTTTCGCTTTCTCATGCTTTTGATCCGCACCACCAAATACAAGGAATTTTAATTTAATCTCATGAAAAATATAAAGCAAAACACGATGCATGTGAAACAACAAAAATGCAACTTTGATGTGAAAATCTAAGTTATGAACTAAAACTCAGGCAGATTTAGAGTTGGAGGACTCACCCCATCCAGTGGCGGAGGCGAGCCCTGGGCGAGTACTCCTTGGCTTTCCCACCGAACCTCTTCAGGGTCGGTCCACATGGACATTCACTGGGAGGAAAGACGAGACACAAACTCATCAAATAACTGCGACTGATCAGAGAGATCACACGAGGTAAATAAAGAGCGAGGTCGTTTCATGACTCACGTTGCGTGCATGGCCTCCCACTTCAGGATCTCATTCCAGGCCTGCTCGTTGTTCTTGTTGTGGATTTTAATGATGTTGGTCATGTCACCAGCGCCGAGGTCGTCGTCACGCCAGCGCCACCTGCGTCACAGGAACAGGACAGATTGTTAAACCACGTCCAAGAATCCCAGAGTTTTTCACTGCATGTGCACAGAAAAATCAACCGACCCTTTCCTCAGCATGGCGTTCCAGAACATCTGTTCAGAAGGGTAAACCCAGTTCTTCTCTGTGCCGTGACGGGGAATGGTGGACTCCTCTCTGGAGACTGACAGGTCGAAGGGCTGGTCTGGAGCTGGCTTTTGGTTGGGCGGAGGCATCTGTGCACACACAGGGAGGGAAGACAAAGTCAAGGACACTGTCACCACTCGAATCTTTAAAAATGTGACAGCAGAGTGAATTTGTGGTGTTAATGACAGTGAGAAAAGATTTAAATGAAGTTGTAAGACACTGCAGTCACCCAGGAGGGAAGATACTCAGGCAGAAAACAATCTCTAATGTGCAAAAGTATTTAAGGCTGAGAAGCAAGTTTAGAAATAAAACACCTGATGTTGTTTGATTGTTACTCAAACTAAAACCTGTAAAATCTTTTATTCCAACAAGGTTTTTCTCGCTGTGCACTTCAGGAGCAGAACAGATGGTGGAGCCGTTTAATCTCAGATTAAAGCTGTTTCAGTGGTAACTGCTGTGTGATTTATTCTCATGAACAGCTACTAATCAGAGCGCTTCTTCTACGGCTACTACCAACGATTATATTCATTATTGATTATTCAGTTAAACTTTAAAAAATAGGTGAAGCTGGTGTCTTCAAGAAACTTGTTCTGTCCAACTAACTGTCAAAACCTGAAGATGTTTAATTTACCGTCATACACGACAAAGAAAAGCAGAAAATCGCCACATTGTAGAAGCAGGAACTACAACATTTTTGACTTTTCTGCTTGAAAAACAACTGAAATGATTAATCAATAATCAAAACAGTTGCTGATGAATCTTCTCTTTATTGAATCTATAGTCTCTTCATGATATCTTCATCTCTTCACAAGTTGTTCCATCTTATTTTCTACAGTCTGCCCCCCCTCACTCCTTCCTCCGTCCACACAGCGCCCACTCCCTCTTTTCCTACACTAACGTGGTGCATGTACCATGTTCGCAGGGTCGATGTCACTCATGCCCGCTGCAGCTTTCATGGGACACTCCACAAACTCATAGGCCCGGTCCTGGTGGGCTGGACCTGCTTCTGCTTTGTGCATCGGACACTCTGACGGAGGAGACGCTACAGGAGACATGAACACCTGATTGAGGCTCAGCACTACAACAATCAATTTGCAAAAAATATAAAGCAATGCAGTCAAGAGGAAGCAAATTCTGCTAAACTTGTGTAACAATGAGGAGGCAACAGCAGGGAGCAGTAGCCGCAGCCACTGTAACAAATCAAATACAGCACAGGAAATCTTTAAGTCAGTTATTTTTAGGCCAACAAATTATAATAACCTAATTTATAAGTCAGTGGAAATGTATTTGTCAAAGTGGTGCTGAATAATTCATCATTAACAGGCAATATCATGTAACAGCCCCACATGACATTGACCTAAGTATGATGCACCTACCCTTCGCAGGCTGAGCTTGATGCATGGGGCACTCTGAAGGTGGAGACACTGTGAGAGACCGATACAGACAAACCAATTACAATATGTTAACACAATTTACTATGCCCCATCCCTCCACCAAGTTTGGTGCAAATTGGTTCAATACTTTCTGCATAATCCTGCTGAGACACACAGACGGGTAACAGGTAACAACAGGTAAAAGCCTCGTCCCTCCCGCAGCACTAACCTGCCACAGGCTTGGCCTCTTGGTGCATGGGGCAGCCCTGAGGAGGGGCAGCCATCATGGCCTCTGCCCTCACTGTAGGAGCAGCAGGTGTGGACATGGACGCTCCCATCCTGCCCTGTCTGAGGTGGAAACAACACACAAAACTCATTAAAACAGTCAACGACAGATGCACTAGTGTGGATAACTAGTGACTGGAGTACAGTAGGTACTGAACCTCTGGAGTGTTTTTACAGTAGAAACTGTAGCATTGAGTCCTGTACTGAAGGTTAGCCTGAACTCCTGCTCAGTGTTGAGTATTATTATTTTCTTATTTTGGTTTCTATGAATACTATTTTGGCACGAATATCTAAAATTCCTGAACGATGGCAAGTTGTCTGTGAGAACATCAATTTCTGTAAACAATTATTTACTTGACAGACCTATGAGAGATAACTTGTTAATGTTAATATTTACTAGTTTAACTTTGGACTTTATCTGTCCAGTTGTCTTTCAAGTTAAAAGTGTTTAAATAAGGCAAAGAGAAGCATCAGCGCAACATTAAATAATCAGGAATGAAGAGCACTGGGTGGCTGACAGTATGATGAGTGCATTAGTCTTAATATTCATCTCTACAGTGATTTCTTGTGGCTAACAAAGATAAAAACAAATGAAGGTTAACCAGCAGAATGGCTGAGGAGGCTGACGCTCCATCCTGCCAGAAGTTATCCTTGATTAACCTCGCGGCTAACGTTAGCATCCCAGCCTCAGTGAAACTAGACCTAACTAACTTAGCAATGCTAGCTATGGAGCCAGACCCGTGAACCCGCCATGTCTCCGGTTTATTCTGCGATAAAAATAGAATTAACGTAATAAAGTGAAACGAAAAGGCAGATCAGTCTGGTGATCGGGCTAAGTAGCAACTAGCACTAGCTGCGTTCATTTAACGCTAGCCAGGCTAACTAGCAGCTAAGCTAACGTTAGCTGATATGTTTGACTGTCTTTTTTGTTTTAAAATGTAACGTAATTTTGACATAACACGTTAGTAGTACATTCATGGCGCCTCTTTTAGCTTCTGGCTATTCATATAAGCTGCAAAAGAGAAATATTAGACGAAAGAGAAATAACGAACCTCTTAGAGAAGTCAGCTGAGAAGTGTTCTTCTGTCAGGTTACTACCCCAATGTCAACGTGCAGGACAGCCGATGTTACCCAGAAGGAGTTGCACAACTCTGGATAACATGTGCCGTAAGCCGTATACGTCATCACGTTGACATGGACAAAAAACGTAAATCTCTCATAATACATAATACATAATGGGTGATATAACATTAGCTTGACTGTTGCATAGCTATACACTCTGAATGAGGTCAAAAACAACAACAATAGCCTGATGGTGGATTATGGTTGAGACTGAATGGCACTGGTCTTTATTTAATACTATAAATAGTGGACTATTCTAACAAAACAAAATATATGAAACAACTTTCTAATCTTGTATCTAATGTAACTCCAGCCACAACAGGCTCAAAATTGTTAGCTTGGCAAATATATACTATATATGAAGTCATCATTCATTCTGTTGACTAAAACCTAGAGTTAAATGTACATTAGGATTTTAGACGTTTTAAATGTTTACTTTAAGTATTACTGGTGCCAGGTATGGACCTGGTTAAAATGCAACAAAAACGAAGTTACATTATTTAGTCTGCCCTGATGAAATTTCACAACGTCATGACCTATCCAAGTTAATATTCAATGAAAACATGATGCTGAATGAAGTTAGTGATTTTTATAAGATGTCACATCTATCACTTATCTGCAGATACGCCCAAAGAAGACGTTCCTGCTCGGCCATTAACAGGCAAAGCAACAGAATCAATGTCATATTCTATATAGTGTACATTTTTTCTCATTTACTGTAGCTGATTGCAATTACATTTGTTTTGTAATTTAATTACGTAATCAAGTTACATGTAACTCCGCAACACTGTACTACACAGAATTACTGTGTTACAAAACACAATTCCTCCTGTAGTAGGCGTGTCTGGCCACTGGATGGCGCCAAAACGCTGCCTTGTTAAGATTTTCTCATGTAAATATATTATGGTAAATTAAGCCCAAATAAGATAGAGAAACACTGAAGAGAAAGAAGGGAATTTTTACTTTTTTTTAAGTGCATAATATATATCTTCACTTTCCCCAAGTATCTCTCTGATGTTCTGGTGCTGTGTTTTGTCAGTGCTGTGACCTCTGACCCTGAAATTCCTGAAACAAGATCCAGGTCAAATCTTGTCAGAGTCAAATCTTATATACTACTGAACTGATTGTATTTTAACTGCACCACTGCTAAAAAAAAGTAAACAAGTAATAGTAATAAGTAATATATATAACTTATTGCTGTATATACAGTATATAGTATATATATATAAGGTTGTACTACACAGGGGGATGATGTATTTATTGAATGAAAAGGAGGGTTAGATTTTTTTTCTGTTTATCTCATTCTTTTCACTGAACATTGTTTTTTTTATCAAACTTTATAATCATTTCACATGGAACCTAACACTGACTGGATTAACATGCCAAGGGGCCCCAGGGCGTAGATGAGCTATGGGCCCTTACTGACCCCCACTTCCTCCCACTCTCTGTCCAGTTGTGTATGTATCCTGTCACCTTCAAGAACCATCAAGCGCAGTGCACATGCAGACTACACACAGCAGTATTTTCCCTGAAGCCTCAGGAACCAACCAGAACTCAAGCTTGACTATCCAGGCCACTCCACCCCAGGTTTGCTTGGTGTGACTTGCTTTTTCGTAATTTAATTACACTCAGATCTACGTAGAAAAAAACACTGTGTAAGAACAATATCAACAGAAATAAAACAACCTGAAAACTACATTTTGACACAGGGCCTCTACCCTGCCTGTTCTAAACTGTGTCTTTGAGCTGGTGTTTAGTTGAAAACAGCTGTGTTCACTTTATCCTGACTGAGCCCCCTCTATCACTTGGGTGAAGGCCCATAAAAATCCCAGTTTTCAATTTTCAAAACCAGACCATTTGCCAGCTGCTCCCCACATCTCCAGGTGTGTGTACCCTCGGCCCTGCGCTCCTTTTTCCACTAAAACTGAATATTTCCATAGAGATAAGTTTTATAATTACAAACGTTTCAGAAAATCTGTTGTGGACATTGTCCTTGTCACTCTGAACACTGGGGACAGGTTTTCCATTGTATTTAACTGTGTGAGACCATATAAGAGTTCAAAAGTCCTTACAATTGGTTATTGTCCAAACAAATTTGCAAGCAATTAGATAACCACAATACACAATGAACTGATCATCACATTCCATGATCATTGTTGTCCCAAATCCCAAATGTTGGCCAATGCTTAGCAGCATAACACTGCGTTTCATTCTTTTGTGTTTGTGTCTGTAAACACCCACACTGACAACAGATTTAATGTTGTGACAGAACAGAGACGCCCAGTGATATTACTTTGGGTTTGGCTCTATTAGTTGTTTGTATGTGTAATTAATGGGGGTTCTTACTGTGTCTGGGACGAGAACACAAACTCTAATCACAGAAAAATGTGATGGTAGAAAGTGGTTGTACTGATTTCACATGAAGTTGCAGGGTTTTATTTTTCAAGATAAATGGGTTTGACTATTGTAAAATTTGAACACTGCATCATTCTGGCAATCAACAGTGGAGGATTTGATAATACCTAAGACTTTTCCCTCTCCTTAAGGACCAGCTGAGCATCTCGGTCACAGGCCAAATCCCTGAAACCCTCCAGATTGCAAGAATGTGAAACCTAAAGCCAGTCTCACTAATTAAAACCTGGCTTTTCACACAGGTTCATTCATGGTAAAACATATTGAGACAGAAGAGTTTATAATTTCTTCCAGAACTCCAGCACGCACACACACACACACACACACACACACACACACACACACACACACACACACTGCAAGTTGGTGCCAGGAATTAGACTTTTATCAAATGCTGCCTATTTGCCTTCGAGACCCGGCTGAGATCTGAGGAAAATTCACATAATATGCTTGTGTGTGGGGGTTGTAGAGGTGGAGGTACAGCTCATTAAATGTATTTGTAAAAGTGTATTCACATGGTTCCTTGCATGACTGTGATTCCCCCGCAGCTGATACATATTACTGCGATACTATCGTGGTAAAAGGTTTTATAATTAATAAGTGTTCACTCCACTTACGTGTTGCTACAGCTTTCATTCACACAACCAACCAACATACACGGGGGATAAAGTACATTTTCAGGCCATATTCACACTAATATGGATACATTCGAAAATAATATGGTGTCAAACACAAGAGACGTGGACACATGACTTGGACTCAAGTAAGGTCCTGAATCTAATGACTTTATTGATTTGACTTGAAATTTCAGTTTGGCTTTAACACCAATGATGTGGGACTTCACTAGGAGTGTAAACATCTTACACTGAAGTTTTCTCCAAGCTCAGGTGACATATTCTCTTCAAACAAAAGAAGACGAAAGAAAAGAAACATGTTGGTCTTGAATTGGGAGCTACATGGGACCTTCCTGTCACGACTAGGGACCTGGTTTACTTGCTGATTTTGATTAGGGACTTGACTTGTTGGTCTTGGACTTGTCTCACTCGTTGGTGTTGACTAGCAACTTGACTTCTTGGTCTTGACTAGCAACTTGACTTCTTGGTCTTGACTATAGGGACTGGAGTTGTTAGTCTGTCCGTTTCAGGCTGATACTATGGGAACACTGATTACTTTGACTGTGCAGCTGTGGAGGACAAATATTTAAATTGGCCACCTGATTTTTCCTGAATAAACCGAGATGCATTTGACAGAGAGAAGAAGAAAAGACAAAGAAAAAAACCTTTTAGTTAATGAAGAGAAAGTAAAAAGTAGTAGTAGTTTCCAAAGCAGTGCCGTTGTTCCTTTTACCTTCTTACATCGGAGTGTCGCCATCATGTAAACATTTGAAAAACATCTGCTCCTAGATGCGTTTAAGGGTCTGGAACATCCTTGATCCAAACTTCAGGTCAAGGTCCACAACACAGAGGAGGGAGGATGGGCCGAACCACAATTAGCGGAATGGAAAACACCTCAAGTAAAATTGTGCAAACAACTATGTGAAGAATACCACTCCTCTCACAGCTGCTTGTCTCGTCGTACACTTGGCTGCTGTCTGCAGGTGACAGGGAATAAATATGGACCCAGTTTTTCAAATCAAATATCTGTACTGCATGAACATGAAGCATCAATCAGCTGAATTATTAGACCTTAATGCTCGGGCCCATCCCACCTGCCTCCCAGTGTTTAAACCTCTGCAGGTCGTGTGATGATCAGGTGTAATTGGGAAACATCCCAGTGTTTGAACCCAGCCTGTAAACACGGTGGGATCTCGTTGAAGTTTAGCAGGCCTCGTTTGGCCTGCATCGCAGACTTTGTTTCCTCATGGCTTTGTACTCCTGATTAATTCCAGTGCATTCACAGCTGGGGATTGAAATGATGATGAATGTGTTATTTTCGGCCCGCTGTTTTTGAGATGTTTCCTTCGCTCAGTCCGTCTTATTTATCTGTTTTTGTTTCCCCTCTCTCTGGCTTTGATCAGACACGTGAGGCGACAGGCACGTCTGCTTCTCCCGGAGGAGGCTGTATTTACACAGACTGGCCCTTTACAGGGAACGCCACGGGAGAGAAATCTACATTATGTACATTTTAAGACGAGGTGGAAGCAAGAGAGGATAAATTGACATCAGCATGCAACATTAAAACAAACGTTTTCAGCATTTTAGCAAAGAAATGAAGCAGCAAAGGATTTCAAAAACATTTCTCTGCCTCTTTTGCTTTAAGAATTTTATGTAAAAACTAATTTTAATATAATCATACATTTCTAACTCTGTAGTTACCTCGTTAAACAATAAAAATATGCAGCATTCATAACCAGTGTCCTCTTGAATGGAAGCTGAAACAGTTTGAAGCTAAATTAAAGCGATTCATCTTTTCACTTCAGCCAGTAAGTTGGAGGGTAGACTGCCGTCTCTTACCCTGAACAAGTTGCTCCAGTTTCAGGCTCGTTGCCTAAAGTCAAGTCTCTTTGGTGCTATCCTGATTTCACACATTTTGTGCTCACTTCCATTTCTATAATCCAGCCCCTCAATGTGGGTTTTCATGCAGAGAATATAAAATGAGTGTCGCCCG